CCCCCCCCCCCCCAAAATGTATCAATGTTGTTCCTTCAACCAGAATGGAATTAGTAAATATACATTTTCCAATTCTATTACTCTGTAGGAAGCTCCTGCTGTCATTAAGTCATACTACGACAAGAGAATCGTTGGATGCCCTGGTGGTGAAGGCGGTAAGTCGCTTCTCTTTACCCCCATAGTTTCGCCAAATCTGATACTCGGAAAAGTAGTGTAGTACAGCTTGTCTTTGACACATTAAACATACCTGCTTTAAGACCGCTTTGTTCATCTGTCCTGAAATCTGCAGAGGACGAGCACGACGTCGTGTGGTTTTGGCTGGAGAAAGGAAAGCCTCACGAATGCCCAGTTTGCTCTCAGTACTTTGTGGTAAGTTAAAAGTTTTGAACTTTTTCACATTGCAAATCCACCCCATCAGTAGTTATGGATCTGATTGGTCATGAATTACGGAATTTGGTTGATATTTCGTTGATTTTTTTTTTCACTCGGCAGCTTGAAGTGGTTGGTCCTGGTGGACCTCCAGACGGGCATGGTGACGACGACGAAGAACACCACTGATTCCGGGTTTCGTTTACTTCCTCTTGTTTTTTCCTTCGTATAAGATTTCAAGATTCGAATAAAAATCCGTCGCCGGGGAAACACTTTTGAAGATTGAAAACCCTTGTTTTCGTGTTATCCGGCTATATGCACCCAACCCCTTTTCCCGAAGGGATTTTTTAGCACTGCTCCGTTGCTGTTTGTTTTCGCAACTTAAAACGAGTCGGTAACGTTTTTTTTTTAATTCCCTTTTTTGTTGCCCGTCTTCTGTAACTCGGTTTCGAGCAATCTAATGCATGAGCTTCCGATTATTTTTTTTCCCTCGTCATATGCTTCTGTGTTGGGTCATCATTCAGCAGAATAAGGTTAAGAGGTGAACTTCGTATGCACGGTTTCAGTCAGTGTGCAAACGTGCCCCTCGAGTCTCTTGAAATTCCTGAAATTGTGCAAGTTTATATGTTTTGTATACTAAATTCCTGTTCATTCTACTTGTTAGTAGTTGTCTTTAGGTTAGGGTTGTTTTGATTTTTTTTAAAAAAATTGCATCTTTTTTTTTTTGTTTTCGAATTTCGCTTTGGTTTTTGGTAGAAATGTTTCATTTTTTAAGTTGATTTTTAAATTTTTTGTTCGATTTGGCTTAACAAAGATCAAATGAAATCATTTTTAATCAAGTGTAATTCAGAATACGCAGAGCTATATGTTATTTAATCCTGTAATAAGACGTGTTATCTCTACGCGTGGTCTGCCAATGGAGGATACCCACCACAGCACTACACAACACAACAACATTCGATACCAAAAGCTTATGACTTCACATTGTGTCACAATATTTTCATACACTTTTTTTTAAAAAAAGAATGGGAAAATATAATATGTAACTTAGAAAAAAAAATAGAAAAGATAAAACGCAAAGCAAGATGCCGAAACTAAACGAGAAAAAGACGAGAAGATCCCGAAGTCTTCCTGCCTTATTCCGTAATTGGATAGCACTAATAGCATTACCACCCCAGACTATTCCCCTCTTTATGTGTACATATATATATATATATACACACATATATATTATAATAATAATAATAATAATAATAAAAAGAAGAAAGGACGAACTCTTGGACGTAACATCAATAACGCGGTTATTCTCCTTGTGTATTCCTAACGCTTTCTTTTCCCCCGAAAGTCACTTTCTTTTTTGTGTTTTAAAGCCTTTCAGCAAAATTATTTAAACTACGCAAAAAGGATAAAATTGGTTTATACGAGTGGGTTTGCCTGTTTCTCATTACTTTAATTTTGAGTTTCTACACAAAGAGGTGTTTGAGAATTTGATGTTTTGCGTTTTCATAGATTATTTAAATAAATAACTTTATATATACCCAACCCATATGAAAAATTCATCACCATTTTTCCTTGTGGTTATCCTTAATACTCCTCTCACATAGTTAAACCAAGTAATTTGGAATGAACTCGAGATCAAGGGATGAGACAAATCAATTGAACTATTTTTTAGGGTTTCAAAGTTTTATCAGATTATTGTTGAATTTGATAGATCCAGATGGGATTGGAGGACAAATTTAACATGTATGATCAAATGAAAATATATAGGTTAATAATACAATCCACATCATACTACGCTGAAATTATGCATACCTAACCTACCGTACACTCAAATGCAAATCACTAAATATATACCCGAATTCTAGAATTTGAAATATATATATATATATATGGAAACTGATCTATCAAGTTTTATTCTATTTTTTCGCTTACGAGTCTGTCCTTGCAAAACCTAACAAACAACACATCAAAAGCCAAGTGTTTTCCGTAAATGTCTCGAGAATAGATTCGGAAAAATATTCCAAAGCCCCCCGAAGAGGTCTTATCAATCCCCAGAAAAAAAAAATCTCAAGAAAACCAACGTCGGAGTTTCTATTCCCTTTCCATTTCAGACATATATATATATATATATATATATATATATATATATATGTATATATCACCGAACTACATTTCTCTGTAAAGTTCCACACAGCTTGCCCTCATTATTCTCTCTTTTTTCACACGTCTATATATATTCGTTTCAGATGAATCCCTCCTTTTTATAATGTATTTATATATATGTATGTATGTATGTATGTATGTATGTATGTATGTATGTATGTATGTATGTATGTATGTATGCGGGTTAGGTTATTCAACCGCGAGTGTTGTAACGTTTAGCTGGAATGGACCGTTAATCACACCCTTGCAGGAAGAAAAAATAATTATAAATGTCACATCCATCATCTCCCATTGTTCATCAATTAAAATTTGTTATTCTGCTTAGGGAAGATTAAAAAAAAATTGTGATGTGATTAAACTAATGTGATGCTTTATTCTCCAAGATAACTTAATTCATTATATATGTCTTATCTTCGGAGCTCGGGTTCGTTCATCTTTCACCCCCTTTAACTCACATTCACTAGTTAATCTATTTATAGTTTGATATGACCATATATATATATATATATATATATATTTATGTGTGTGAGTGAATTTTGATGGAGATTTGGATTAGGTACATATTGTTTTAAGTTCCTTATATCTGTTCCATTTATTCATGGCACAATCACTTGAACATAATTTTAAAACATAACAAAAAAATTATTTACAATATTTTGATTTATATATAAGTTTTCGAGTTAATATTTATTTTAATAGATGATTATCTAAAATCTGAGATTTCACCGTAACTAATATATTTTTTTTCAAAAATAATGAAAGTTTATAAAAGTAAAAATATCATCGAAAATAAAAAAGACATCAATATTAACATTTATATACAATTAGCATTAAAAATTGTAAAAAAAGGTACGGGAGAAAACAATAATAGCCTTCATTCATTCATGCATGCAGATTAATTTGCAAATGCCCACAAAATTTAATTTATTCATGGATGGTTGGTCGCCAAAGTAACATATACTCTGAACGGATAAATTACGTTGATAACGTACAATCTTAAGTTTTGCTACAAAGTTGCTCTTGTGTTTTGATCTTTTTGTGTTGCAATTGCAACATAAGTTATAACATATTTTCTTAAATAAATTGCATACAATATACATATATATATATATATATATATATATATATATATATATATATTGGATTTCTTTCCAACAAGAAACACCCAAAAAGAAATACATTTTATCCTTTTTTTACTCTCTTTTCCAAATAATCTACCTTTTATTTGAATCAAAGAAAACAAAATCATTTTTTGCCCATTTAAGGACTAGACAATATTAGGGATTATTAGACTCAATAGACAGGAAATTTCTATAAAAAAAAAAAGTTGTGCATTTGGTCTATAGCCTAATTTTTATAAGTTCACTTAATGAAAAAAAAAAGAACAATTCAATTATGGAAGCACTGTTAAAACAAAGAACCCAATTGTTTAACTTTTTTTAGCCATATATATTTTTTATAAGGATTTTAATGCTAGCTAGCTCAAATATTTAGAACGCATTAACTTCTAATTAGATGGATTAATACCCTTTAAACCATACGAACGAACACTAAGTACTTTAATATAATTATCAGACAACATAGTAGTGCCGAAAGCATCTCTTTGTCTTGTGTGTTATGTCAATTCAATAATAATTAAAAATAATAATTAAAAGGAAAGTTGTGATCAACTTTTCTAATTAGGGCTGATTCTCTCACTCCATTTGAAGTTATTATTATTATTTTCTGAAAAAAACAAAATGGTGGGGCGATGGAAAACAGTTGACTAATAAAAAGTTAATAAGAAATATTTTCCTTGAAATTATTAATTAAATTGCAAAATGTTTGACCTTTGTGAAAAAGGGGCCATGTAATCTGATGCTGCCATTTCTAAGCAAAATGCCGATGTCAACCATCCACTTCATTTCATGCTTTGGTCAACCATTTTCATAATTGGTCGCAGTCCATAGTTTGCAAATATATATTTAAAATATTAATCCACACAAAAAAGAAAATACAACATCCAGAAATAAATATGTAATATAATACATACTAAAAACTATTTTCTTTCATTTTTTATTATGGTTTTTGTATAAAAACCTCTTGATTTGTTTTTTTTTTAATTATACTAGCTCAAATTTATGCGGAAAAAACTATATGAGTTTTTGTTAGAGTACTTTAAATATCCTAATTTTTTATTGGTAAATATCTAATAAAAACGTTTGTTGCATCGTGTTGAAATGACATTATATCAAAAATACACTTCTTTTGTTATTTTGATTTCAAAACATACTATTTTCTAATCGTGATATTGTGATATATGTGATTAGAAATATAATCTTGGTCACATTGCTCATAACGTTATATTTATAATGTTTTTATCAAATGATTAATGAGATATATAAGGTAGGAACATATCCATGATCACCATAAATTTAACGTTATCACAAATGTGACCAAAATTATATTTTTGATTACATGAATCACAGAATAACAAAAAGAGAATATTTTTGATAATGTTTCTGTTGAAATTGGTAAATTACCTTTGTAAAGATTACTTGAAATTATTAAGAGACGTTGTCACAAAATTTAATAAAATATTTAGTATCTTTTTTAATATAAAAAATGCATTTTTCTACTTTTATTTCTTTGTATTGTTCTATCATCATTTAATGATATTTCCGTCCGTCATCATACGATATTCGCATTTTATATGGAAAAATATTTGGTTGGGTTGACATTCGCATTTGTTTTATACTGCATACACTCATAAAAATTCCAAAATTAATGGACCGACTTTCTCGCATTAAGGGCCAATTTGTAAGTGCAAGGAAAAAAAAAAGAAAGACGAAATTGTAATTTATGTATAAATGCTTAAGCGAGAAAAAACCATCACAATTGTTTTCATTTTTATCACCAAAATTCATTTAATTACTTATTCTTTATGAAATGAGCTTAAAGTTATACTTAAATACAGAAACCGGGAATCGGGATTTTGTTACAAATATATCAACGTTTATTAACTAATCAATTGGCATGCCCCATCATATAATATATAATTATTTCTTCAAAAAAAAATTTATGGAAAGAAATAGAATCAATGAAGACAGAAAGGGAACTGCTAAGAGTATCTATTTTACTTGTTTTATAGCTATGTGTTTTAATATAATGTGGCAGATTAAATGGACAAATTCATTACAATATCTGATTACGAAAAGGAATAAATTCTTGTGCAAAAAATATTTATTTAAATACTGATGGACTGCTGGGTTATGATGCATGAAGGCTGCATATTATAGGGTGACACATGCATTGTGGAGCATGTGCTCAGAGCCACTTACCTTTATCATTATTCCCTTTGATGTCACTTCCACAAAGGAAAATTTTATAAAAAAAAAAAAACAAGCTCAGTAATTTCAATCGAATTAATAAATAGAATAATTTAAAATGCAAAAAAAAAAAAAAGATTAGGAAAGATGAAAATCAGGGAGAGGTGGGTGAGTACCTTAATTAACCACCATATTATTCCATTAAAAAAATGCTAAAATATCATATATGTGAGAGAAAATTTTGAGATTATACAGTAATTTCTCTTAAATTTTAATATACGTTATTTGTTTTTATAGAGATGGGCATTTAGAGGAATGATCAAAGATAATGGATGATAATTTGATAGATGATGGAAACATTAATAAATTGTCCATAAAAAAATACTCCAACATGGGTCATGAATTTTTTTTTTTTGGAAGAAGATAAAAATGTAATGATGGTATATAAAATAAAAAAGATTTTGGTGTTGATGGTGAATGACTTGTACCATAAAATCCGAGGGGGCGATAATATCTGTTGTAAAGATTTGAAACTATGATGAGAAATGGTAGTGGGAAACAGGAAAGCAATCAAAACAATGGTTGAATGTAAGAAAAAAGATCAAAGGCTTTTTCCCCTCTGTTGTCTCCTTCCCCACATGAAATCCAGGTTGGTCATTTTTGTCTATGCACATCATCATTGTCTCTGGATACCAATTTATAAACCCTAAAACCTTAAATGCAATCCCCAATCCATTGAAGCAAGCAATGCCCCCCATCAAGTTCTTCCAAAAAAAAGTTTTTTTTTCTGGGATTTCTTCAGAAAGTTGAAGACTTTTGAGCTTTTTGGTTATTGGGTATCCATCAATCATCTAAAATATTTTCACAAACGAATGATTCAACAGGAGATTTTTCTTCTTTTTCAATTTTGGGTTATGCCTTCGTTGTTTTAGTAATAATATCCTCGTAGCAAGGTTTTTCTCTCCCTCTCTTTTCCTTTATTTTTTCCTCCACCACTGCCCACAAGGCATTGATTCCCTCTCTCTCTCCCGCTCCCTCCCTCTTTCTCTCTTGTTGCCGCTCTGCTCTGGTGTTTTCAGATTCCTTGTGTTCCCAAAACGATTTCTTTCTTCTTCTTTTTTCTAAAGAAAAAATTGGTTTCCTTTTCTTAATTTGGTTGCCTTTATACCCTCCTTTCCATGGATGCCTCCTCCCTCCGTCCCCTGCCTTCCCTTTCTAGTAGCTCTGTTTAGCTGGTGCACACATTGAACATACCATAGTGAATGATTCAGATTCACCTCCTTTTATTCCCCTTTCACATCACCCCTTTGGTGTATAAATACACATTGCCCCTCCCTCCCTTCCCTTATATTTCCATCAAGTGGGTATCAGTATTTCCAAAGCCTGCAAAACTTTCAGCTTGTAATCGAGTTTCATTGGACAAGAAAATGAGCTACTCTCATCAAAGCATGGGTTCTGGTTTGTCTCTTGTTCTTGCTTACGCATGCTCTGTTATCAAGTTCCCATCAGATTGTTTATGCTTGAACTCACAAATGACTGTGTTTCTGGTAAAATCTTGCAGGTAGTAGAAGTGTTAGGAGCCATGAATTTGGAAGGACTTATGTTGTGAGGCCTAAAGGAAAGCACCAGGCCACTATGGTTTGGCTCCACGGTCTCGGTGACAATGGCTCGAGGTAACTTTCACTTGCCTTGTATATAAATTGCTTCGAAACTTACACTGCTGATTGTCAAGTCATGGCTAAGACCCTAAGATATTAAACAGAGTTGTTTGTCTGATCATTATGTCAACAGTTTATCTGAAAGTTACCATGTTTTCAGTTTTCTGTTACATGAACACTTTCCATGCTTTCACTTCTCGTGTCCAAGTATAAACATCTCCTGGAAAGCTTCAACCTTTTTTGGGTTATTTTTAAATGGGAGCTTTCAAAAGTCAAATTTTGGCATGTTCCCTCAAAGAACAATCTTTGTAGGATGCATCTCCTGTGTTCTGCCCCCTTTTTTTGATGAAGTTTTTATTCATACAAGTGTTGTGGCGCCGCAAAAATCAATAGATTCTCCACTGTCCTTTCCCCTCAGTTTCTTCTCTTATGGGATATTATTATCAAAGCTTAGTTCATTAAAGATTATGATAAAAACAAGTTGTCTATACCTTATTCATGATTGGGGACCACTGTCTCACTTGCTGGAGAAAGGGACACTGTTTTCTCGTCTTACACGAAGAGAATATTCCTGCTCTGTGTATGAAACCAAAGAATTCCAATCAAGTCTTTAGCTCTTATTTGATGCGTTGGAAGAAGAACATATTCGTTTCCCTCACCGTGCCCGTCCCTGTTTGTCCTGCAGCTCGTCTCAGCTCCTGGAAAGCCTGCCTCTTCCTAACGTAAGGGTCTTCCTGTCTATGTACTTTTCCATATCACTATAATATTGGAGTGTGTTCTTATAAAGATGTTTGCTATCCGCAGATTAAATGGATTTGCCCGACTGCTCCTTCACGCCCTGTTTCGATTCTTGGTGGATTTCCCTGCACTGCCTGTAAGATCCATTGTTTCTGTACTCACTCCTGTTTGAAACATTTCATGTAACATTGGTTGGTGTCTCGAAAGGAGTTGCTAGACATGAATGAAAACAGCTAACTGGTAGTACCCATTATTCTGCATCAGGGTGTGATGTTGGAGAAATTTCTGAAGATGGTCATGATGATTTCGAGGGCTTAGATGCCTCAGCTGCGCATATCGCGAACCTCTTGTCAACCGAACCAGCTGATGGTAAGCCAAGCTATCTTTCCACGTGTATTGAAATCTTGCTTCACATCTCTGGATAAACCCACTGAAATTCCCTTCTGGTTTCGACAGTCAAAGTGGGGATAGGAGGTTTCAGTATGGGTGGAGCAATAGCTCTGTACTCTGCAACTTGTTGTGCCCTTGGTCGTTATGGAAGTGGCCACCCTTATCCCATAAACCTACGAGCTGTTGTAGGGCTCAGCAGTTGGCTTCCTGGTTGGAGGTACATCTTTCAAGCCATCGTAACCATTTTTCACATCCTTTGAGAACGTACAGTCCATTTCTTTACAAATGATGCTTTAACATGATGAATCATGCAGGAGCCTAAAGAGCAAAATAGAATGTTCATATGAGGCTGCAAGGCGTGCTGCGTCATTGCCAATCATTCTTACACATGGAACTAGTAATGCATAACGTTATTCTGCAAAACTATTCTGTATTTGCTGCTGAAAATTATGATCAAGATAAGCTGACGCTCTGGTGTTGCAGGTGATGATGTGGTTCCTTACAGATTTGGAGAAAAATCCGCCCATGCCCTTAGTATGGCTGGATTCCGACAAGCTCTGTTTAAACCATATGAAGGGTAAACACTGACACCGATTTATCAGATTCTAGACTATGTTTTGGACATCCTTAACCAGTTAACAACCAAGCTTTGACGAATCTACTGAAGTTTTTGGTGGTCCTTTCTGAGTGTTCTGGGGTTCTGAATGGTGCAGGCTCGGTCACTATACTGTTCCCAAGGAAATGGATGAGGTAGTTCACTGGCTCACCACGAGGCTCGGGCTCGATGGCTCACGTTAAGCTATGCATCTAGCTCTAGGTGGTATGGTCAGACCGAGAAGAATGAAGAACAGAAACTGAATAATGGGGGAAGGAGAGGAGGGGAAACTAAAATAGTGTACACTGAGATATAGTAGAAGACTGTATAATGATGGGCTGGGTTTCTTTGGGTATACGGACGGTATTTCATGGTTCACTGTTTGTGATTTTTTTTTTTTTTTTTACCTTTTTGTTCTTTTGTTCTACCTCTTGTATTCTTGCTCATGAATAAAGGGTACCTATGCTATTTCTATTTTAGCCTCAAGCCTTTCTTCATACAAAAATCCAAGTGTCTGAAACATTATTGCAGGTGATTGAATCACGTACATAAGGTGAAAAAGAAACACAATTTGCATCAAAGCAACTTCATCCACTTGAGTATAAACTGAACTCGGTGGATCTTGAAAGTACAGAGACTTCTAGTTTCCAGAGATGTCTTTAAGCTTCTCCTCCAGTTCGCCGTTCTAGCGAGAGAAAGGGGTTGAGTGAGAATGGAAATCTGACGTGATAAGCATTGAAACAGAGGGAGGGCAATATAGTGATCTAACCTTATGCATGTTCAGAATGATATCTGAGCCACCGATGAACTCGCTCTTGATGAAGATTTGTGGAAATGTTGGCCAATGGCTGCACATAGGAGAGAGTTCATAAGCCAATCCAGCATAGTGCACAGAAACAATTTTCGGGAGGAGGTATTACAAGGTCATACAACCCTTCATTGCCGAGAAATGATCAAGGTTTATTCTACGATTTTTGCAAATACGAGGTTCTTATGAATCAGGAAAACATCAATCAGCAAGAACAATCGGCTGAGAAGTTACGAGAAGGCCTATATTTTTTAAAACGTAAGACACAAGGCTATATAGTCTCCAGAAGCTGTCTAAACAAAAGACAGGCCAAGAACACAAACTTCCAGTTCTTGAAACATATGACTCACACTGCCTGAAGGGATCAGAATCATCAGATAGATAGCAGTATCTGACAAAGGATTCTACGAAAAGAGCCAAGACAGTTAACAACACTGTTGGGAAAAATCGCGAGAATGAGATTACATCGCTGTCTACAGGAAGATAGAAAATCAAAACATCTATTTGACCATGCACGCACCTGAAGGCTTTCACGGCATTTTTCAGCTCTGGATCTTCCAGTATGTTCCTGGCACTAATAGGAACATCTGCATGAGAATCCACAAGATAAGCATCATCACTCACCAGAAGCTGTGCTAGGTTAAAAGGCTAAACCATGCAGGATACATAGACATTCATGCATTTACAAGAAAAATGAGCAAACTTGAAGGCATCTCGAGTTTATTGCTAGTTTTTTGTAGAAAGAAACAAAGAAAGCAAGAAAAAGCCTGATAACGAGAGTACAGTAAACGAAGCTATTAAAACGAGAATCGACAATCTAGTAGTAAGGAATCCAAACAAGGCAACTCGGTTTTAACAACTCACTGTATTGTTGCAAAACTCTTACGGCTAACGAGCTAAACCCGCATTGAGGAAATTCAGGGACTCCTTTCATGTAGATCATTACTGGATTTTCCTTCACGTCCTGCAACCCGAGCTTATAGTATTAGCGATAGTAACAACGACCCGATACAGAACTAAGTAAATAGATCTACAATCTGGAGCTACCTGCTCGACTATATCCTTCAGAGACTCGGCAGAACCTGTGACTTTATTCGTGGGCTTAAAATCATCATGTGTGTCTGGATCATTGGGCGAAGAGGAAAAGCATCTCATCCCATTTTCATAGAACAATGCAGATGCCTGCCAATAGAATTTAAAGAAGAAACAAAAACCATGAATTTTCCACACTACAAAAGATCACAAGTCCTAAAGGCATTCATCCGCGTACTTCTCCAATCAAAATATTTACACCAAATGGATGAAACGGAGGACAACCCCAGGAGAATTACTTTTTTTTATTCTTTTGCAAACGCAATAAATTGAAAATGGAAAGTTGGCAACACGAACTTCGATCCAATTCACGGAGGGTTGAGAACCCAAATGTCAAACACTATTCAACAGGGGAGGAAATGACAATTTACAATGGACAGAAACGGAACAGAGCAAACTCATTCATCATTGAACACCCAAAAAAAACACGAGAGGTGCGACAGATGGTCTTACGAATCTGCCCGAACGAGCAGCTTGGAGGCCACCGAGTCCCTTGAGAAGTCTGCTCGACAAAGAAGCAGCCATCGCTGAACCACAAAGCCCGTGACGCAAAACCCGACTCGAAATTCCGATCTATCAACGAAGAACAGGCAAAGAAACTCAGAGAGATTCCTCAAGGTCGAGACTTTAGAGAATTTCCGGGAAAACAAAGCAGAAAAAGGAAGGATTTGCGCAATGGGTAACGCGTGGGATGGCTCTTCTTGGGTTTTTGGTTGCGAAAGGAAGACGAAGTCGGAGCAAAGGAACGATCGGACATGTTAGGGCTTTTCACTCTCCCCTCGTTGTTTTCAGAACCGGGAAAATCTGCCGGTTGAACCACGAACCGGATGCTTATCACGAACGGTTATTGGACAGACCCGGACGCGTGTTGACCCGTCCGAACCGGCTGACATGAATATACACACTTGTTGCACAATATACTTGTACCTGCTAACAAATTTAGGGGATTTTGGATGTATATGATTTCCGATTTAACAAATTGGGCCGTATCGTTGGGCTGATTCATGGGCCTTGTCATTGGCAGATTGAGCTGATTGGCCCTTTGTCTTCCAAGGCTCCATTTTTTTGTCCAGTTTTCTCCCGTGGTCCAATCCAAAATGCGAATACGAATATTTTCTATCATTTTAATTTAACAATATGAATAAAATAAGACTTTTTGTTTTCTAAAATCCACTAATTTGAAAGTGTTGGATCCTATTAGAAAATGATTTTTTTAATTAAGAGAATATGTTAAATAACGCATTTGTTTTTGTTTAACTGGCCGAGAACAGTCTTTCAAATATAGATGTATAATCAAAGTATATTATAATATTATATCTATGCTATATATATTACATGAATCCAACCCTTATCATATGATTTGAAAAATAGCATAAAAAATTTAATAACTACATGATGTATATGAAAATCAATTGACAAGTGAAACTCTTTCCTCTTCTTCATTAAAAAAAAAATTAACCTGCCCCCTTTGACCAAGCAACTTCGTCCTCGTCCTTGCCCTTGAACCCCTCACCTCCATGGAATTTGCTAACCCTAATCTCGAAATGATTCACAAATCACCCGCCAAGTGTCAACAAGATCCACTGATGTAGCTAGGGTTCCTAAAACACCACTTTGAAAAAAATCGTATAAATATCGCGTCTGGTCCATGCATGTTTTGGAGTGCAAATTGAAGTTTTAATTCTGATATCAAATATCTCTCGTATAAATTCACAAGCGGAGGAGAACGAAGACGAACTATGTCGTCGACTCAGGAGTTGAGCCACAAGGCCGGAGAAATCACCGGTCAAGCTCAGGTACTTGTAACGAATTTAATTATAAATCATTTCTATTATAAGGTTTTGTAACGAAGATAATGGTTTCAGATCAAGAAGGATGAGTGCGTGAACAAGGCCTCGAACGCAGTGAACGAAGCGTCGTCTCAGGACAATCCTTCCATCACTTCACAGGCCTCAAGCTTCCTTCAACAGGCAAATAAACTAATATTTATTTTACTAATTTCAATATTCGAAACGTTTTGTTGTTTTATTTACATGTTAATTGAACTTGAATTTCAAATGACGATCTGTTTTGGCATTCTACTTGGAAAATTTTGGGGGAAATTAGTGAAAAAAAAAATTGAAACTGTTAAAAACTTTTACTAAATTTTAAGTAAATATGTTTCGGTAAAAAAAAAAAAGATACCCAATGCACTTTACAAAATTTACAGTGTTTTGGGATCAATTCTTTTTCTAAAAAAATATGTTTTATTAACTTTTTTCAAGAATTCCAGAAGACAGAATAAAAATCTAATTTTGACATAAAAGTAGTATGTTGTGGGTAATAACTTCTTAATTTTTAACCTTTTTTTTTGGGATGAATGGATCTGTCGTTGAATTGGGAGATGCAGACAGGGGTACAAGTGAAGAGCATGGCCCAAGGAGCGGCCGATGCCGTGAAGAACACTCTCGGCATGAACTCCGACAACAATTCCGGCAACCCGACCGCCGCCGCCGGGAGCCGCCCGACCAACCCGGGCCCTAGGGTTTAATTAAAGGATTTAGAAATTAATATTTTCCTCCACGGGAACAATTTTTCTAATAAGGGTGGTGATTTTCTGATGTAAAGAATCATCAATTCAATTATTTGTATTTCATTATTGTATTTTCCATTTTTTTTATTCATAAATAATAGAAATGAAGGTTTAATACTAACAAATATATATCGTAAATCAATAAAATATAGATGTAAACCAAATTACATCATAGTTAAGGAACAATAAATGTCAGCTTTTATATAATCACTCTATGAATGGTCTCAGAATTAAAATAAACAAGAAATACTGTTTTTAATTTTATAACAAATAATTTAAATGATTAACGCTAAGAAATCCTAATAAACTAGATTGATTCCCGAGGAGAATAAATTCATATCCTTTTTTTTTTTTTTGCGTTGGTTCCTTTATCATTCTCCAAGAAAATGGATTCCAGATCTATAGCATTTCCTTATCCCTTTTAATTTTGAAAACATTATGAAGATGGAAATTTTTAGTTAATTAATTTCAAATAAGCGAATATTGGCCTGAAAAAAAAATTAAAGTGATGGGCAGAAAAAGAAAAGATGGTCAACCAAAACCTCGAAGACTTATATTCCGTCGGCATCACCCAGATTTTCATCTTTATTGAAACTCTCCATTTTGCCTTCCCTTTTATTTGCGGAATTTTCCCTATAATCCCATTTTTATCACATGAGAATATATAATTTTACGTATGTAAATCCAAATTTAATTTATTAATATAAATTCCTCTTCAAATCGAATTCAATTTAACGATAGATTTGATATGTTTTTTAAATTAATGGAATCAAACATGATTGTAACAAAATAATTGAATAGAAAGTGAACTATTTTTTAGAAATAAGTATTTTTTTAATAAAATGTAAGGATAAAAACAAATTTTAGATATACAAATTTATACATATATATATATATATATATATATATATATATTACAGAAAACATTTCGATGCCATTAATATTCAACCGAAATTATTCTAACTCGTTAGTTAGGCGTTTTAGGCAGTGATCAGTTGTTTCTATATATCATACATTTTATATATTTCTCGATATCGAATTTCTTAGTATATTTAGCACTAACTCAATTGGTTGTTTCCACAACACATTGGTCCGGTTTTGTCATGCATGTGATATTTATTACCCCAATATGATCATATAATATAACCTCAACAATCCAATAAGATTGTATTCACTCACATATATATATATATATATATATATATATGTGTGTGTGTGTATGTGTATTTGTGTGTATTATATGCATGATAATGAAATTATCTTTTGTTACGTTGCCGCTAAGCAAAGGAGCACTTCACTTATAGTAAACAAAAGTAAACCTAGAAAATGTGAATATTCAAACATTCAAAAGCAATATCGATTTTTATTGCTATATTCTCGTCTGTCGATTCTCTTGCCCCCCTAAAGTATAATTGAAAGAGACTTTACAAATATATCTATATATATATATATACATATATAATAGAGAATAAACTAGCTACCCTTTTTCTCCATTCGCAAATTAAAATCTTATTCCATCGTGTCATCAATTTAAACAACGCCGTAATATCCATTGGTTTCCAAAGAATTGTTCAATGAAGAGATGTGAATTGAATTCTAAACCTAATATTTTGTCTATATATATGGCAATTTATATTCAATGAAGAGATTATTCATCTGTATATATATATATATATATATATATATTGTTTGTTTCAAATCAAAAGGTTACGTGCATGCATACATGCATGGTGCATCTCATCCACAAAAAGGAGAAACCCTAATAATTAAAGCGAGGGTATGACCAAAGTAACTCCATTCAAAATTTTCGGGCTTTGGAATCACAGCCGGAATGTTTTCACCCAACCTTTTCTTTTTATCTTTTGAATTATTAATTAATCGGTTTTTGTTCTCTTCTCCTTCTTCTTTTATGAAAGGTTGAAGTGAATGTGAAGAACACGAAAAATAAGAAATTAAAGATAAAAAAAATGGTCACTGAAAAAGAAAAAGAGTAACCAAACCATCCAGCTATATATATATATATATATATATATATATATATATTCGTCTCGTGTCATACCTATATAAAGCCCTCTCCTTCGCCTTGCTCTTACATATATCGTCACATTAAGCCTCGGGGTCTTGTTTCATTCCCCTCTTCTTTTTTTTAACATATATATAATATCTCTCTTCCACGTCTTTCAAGGTTAGTTACTGTTCTTCTCACCTTAATCTTGTATATAATTTATTTAGCATATGTATATCTAACGATGTCATATATACATATATAGTCTTGATTTTGTAAATGGTTTCAGCCAAATAATAAAGAATGAAAAGAATATAAAAAAGGGCGTATATATGGAAACATACCATTAGTTTTATAAATTATGCTGCTCTTAACTCGCTTTCACAGCTATTTTATACGATTCTTTCATAACTCTGTATGTCAATATAATTAATAAAATATCTTGAATTATGATCGGAAGCATCGATATTTTAAAATTACAGTGGCGGTGACATCGTATAATATTATATATGGATTCAACGATATTTTGTTATATTCTTGGGAATATGTATGTTGGTATTACATTATATATATGTACAGTATTATCTACAAAACAATTTCTCATGCAAGTCAAAAACAGTAACTTTTTTCGTGGGAGAAAAACGAAAATACTAACAATTGATTGTTACAAAAATTAAGCAGGAAATATAATTTACAAAAAGTGCCCAAAGAAAACATGAGTAGGCCCGGAGACTGGAACTGCAGGTCATGCAGCCACTTGAACTTCCAGCGGCGGGAATCGTGCCAGCGTTGCGGCGACTCTCGCTTCTCCTCCGCCTCCGCCGGAGATTTCGGCTGTTACGGTGGTAGAGCGGCGGCGTTAGGGTTCACCACCGGCTCCGACGTCCGTCCAGGTGATTGGTACTGCACCGTCGGCAACTGCGGGACCCACAACTTTGCCAGCCGCTCCTGCTGCTTCAAGTGCGGCGCCTTCAAGGACGACTCCGCCTCAGGGGCGCCGGCCGCTCCGGATGGAAATCCGGCGACTGGATTTGCACTAGGTAAAATCACACTCATTTTCAGGACTATACTATATATGCCATCTTTTTTTTCTTACTACATTGAAATTTCAGGTAAAAAATAAAAAGAAACTAAACAAATTTTGTGTGTTATTTCCAAAACGAGGAATAAAATTTTAAAATACAAGTAGAAACACGTAAGAAGAAAAAGTAGGCATATATAACCAAATTAAACAAACTGAAATAACCGGTCACACACTCTAATAATTAATACATATAAAAATTATATATATATATACAACTATATGAAATAATTGAATTACAAAGTTAATTACAAGATTATGGATAATGTTGTTTGCAGATTTGGCTGTAACGAACACAACTTCGCAAGCAGAATGGAGTGTTTCAGATGCAGTGCCCCAAGAGGAGACTTCACCGACAGAACCTCCTCCTTCTGATGTGTCATGAAATGTCTTTTCTGAAGGATCCGTGTCTCCCTCCATCTTTGGGTATTTCATTTTCTCACTCTATTAAATGTTTATTGTTTAATTAAAGAAACCAAAATTAGGCAATAACTTGCCAAAGAAAAAAACCCTAATTTTACTGATGGATGGTTTTTTCTATTTTTTTTTAATTTTGTTATAATTACAGGCACTGCTTGCATGAAAGAGAAGAAGCAGCGACAGATCCAAATTCAAGTGGATTTTTGTTAGATGTATTTCCAAGAGGACCGAGATATAGTTACTTTATATTATATGTTTGTTTTGGATGTATTATCCGTTTTTTTTTAATTTTTGTTCCCATCACTTCTTTTTTGAATTGTTTTTTTTTGTTAATCTTTTTCTGGTTTTTGAGAGTTTTTATTTAATCATTGTACGTTGCATGGCTTTCTTAAAAGAAGATTCTCTTCTCTATTACCACATCTCTTCTTTTTCTGCCTCTTTTATCGTTAAATCCAATAAATATATATCAGTTTTATTTCAGAATTTCACACACATATATATATATACACACACCCATTTAAGAATAAATGTAAAACTTATATTATTAACCGAATAATTTTAGTGATAGGTATCAAAATTTCGAATAATTAGATATGTTATCCCAAACTATGATTTTCATTGCGGATATGATTCGCACGGAGATTATAAAATGCCGCTTTCCAAACGCAACAGTGAAAAGCAGTTAATGGCAACTGCGTTTGCGTTTTTAGATAAATGCAAACGCGGCAACAAAATAATCTGAATTCATAGTGTGCTCACATGGTCAATATCCCAATTCGTAGTAGTGCTCAAATCTCATCCGGGTTTTGTTTCTCTCACGATTCCGGTTTGGCTTAAAGTAAACCAATCGGTTATGTAGTTGCGGTTAATGGGGAAATGAGCTTGTAGGGCCCAATTAAGGGCCCATAAACCCAATCCGAATCCAGTTTTTTACTTTCTTACCTTCTCTGTGCAACACAGAAGTCACAAAGGCACACCACTCTGGTTGTATCGAACGAGAGAGAGCTTCAATTCAGGATTTTGATCGTCGTCAATTGTGTTCCTCGTTTGTATCGGCTGCTGTGTTCTTCTGGGCATTTCCTTTTGCAGTCTGTATTTGCTTTTGTCGTGTTCGAATAATCTCCATCCATGGCTTCCTGTAAGTTTGTCTCCCTTTTGATTTGCTTTCTTGCTGCACTCGATTTGTTCCTGTGTTTTTGGTGTTCGTATCCGAGACTAGAATTTTTGTTTTCCTGAATTGGGTTTTTTAAATGGTTTGTTTGCTCTCCATTTTTTTTTCGCGAATCCTTGTTGTTGTTGTTTTTATTTGTCGAGGTTGCTCGAATCTGGCGTTTTGCGTGTAGGAACTTCGGAAAGAGAGCATAAATTTGGAGAATTGGGTTAACGTGTTGTAGAATTACAGTTTTCATGTCCTCGAGTAGATTTTGGATCGATAAAAATTGAAACATCATTGTAGAAATTTCAATTTTGTCTTCGAGGGTCCCGTTTTGGCTCGCTGATCTTGAACCGGATCATTGGTCCTTAATATCGAAAGTGTTCCTTGAATAATGGGCAAGTGTTCTTAGGTTGAATCCTGTTGAGGAAGGAAAATGCATCTGCATTCCTCTCCCAGGAGAGAGGAGTGTGTGTCAGATAGATCCTCGTCTGCATTTATAGCTCTCTGTTCTTTCTGTCACCAATTTGGATTTATTATGTTTTTTGTTTACGTTTTTATTTCAGATATAAATTTCTGAAACTATGAAGGATCATCTAATATGGTCCGTTCTCTTCTAGTTGCTACCTGTTGATGATAGTATCAGTGTAAAAACTGAACATATCTTCTGCATATGGTTGGAAATTATATGTTCTTACTGCACATTTCTTCTTGGTTCTTAGTTTCGGTATCAATTTGATTGTATTTTCTAGGTCCGAGACATGCTCAAGTGTAGGTGAATATAGTTAGAAGAGGCTTCATAAGCTTTTGTCTCGTTTCAGGTAGCCTAGGAGTTCCTAAAATCAAGATTCCGGCAATAAACATCAGCCGAGGAAGATCCGGAAACTTTCTGATACCGGAACATCAAAGGCTTTGGCTCGGGCTTAAGCCTTTTAAAGATTTCGGTCCGAGGACGACTCTGCAATCTGTGAAAACCATCCAAATTTCCGCTGTTCCAGTGACAGAAACTGCTGGTATTTTTTTTATCTTTCAATGTGTTCTTCTGATGCTCAAGTCATTTTTTTATGATTATATATCTGAAATAAAATTAAATTTTAATGAACTTTATTTTATGTGCATTCAGATTCATTGTAACCATTTCTTAATTCTACACTGCCTCTTAATTCCTGAACTTCTTAACATCACCCCCTGTTATTTAAAAACTGATACTTTTCATTGTTTTCTTCTTATAGAATTTTTGTTTTTAGATTGATTTGGGATTTGCATAAAAAGTTCACATTTGTTTTCATTGCTCTGGCTTGCTTTAATGTGCCTTAGCCTTCTCCACAACGGCTAACATAGATGCGGTAAAAGATTCTGAAGAAACGAAACCATCTGGATTGACGAGCCGGCTCATTCCCAAACCTTCTGAGGTGATTTTTTGCTCAACTTTTCGATAGTATGTTTGTTATTCTTGACCAGTACATATCTCATTTCGTACCCTAATAGACGATCTAAAGCAATCAAGTTTGCTGAAATTCCGAGGAATCGCCGCATTATAAAAGCTACAATTACGAAAAGTAGAAACTTTTGCAAGCCATGTGTAAAAAACTATAGGAGTTCTATTTGATAATTTTCTGAATACATCCAGCTCTGTTTGTTTGTTGATTCAAGAGAGGCTGCCCGGTCTCGATGAACTATCGGCCCGTGATTTACCCGAATCAACATGTCGTTATTGTGGTGCTTTCCTTCTGATTTCTTTCTCCTATTTTCCAGGTCGAAGCCCTTGTGACCGAAATATGTGATTCCACATCAATTGCAGAGTTCGAGCTGAGGGTAAGGCCAGACTTACTTCTGGATTTGCAATGACGGTTGGACCGTAGTTACTATTGTGACCGAAATATTTGATTTCTTTCCCGTTTCTCTCATTTGCACATTCCAATAGCTCGGGGGGTTTCGCCTTTACGTTGCGAGGAACTTAGCTGAAAAAAGCAGCCCTTTGCCTCTGCCAGTTCCTGGTGCTGTCACCGCGGGTTCAACTACTGAGGGGCTTGGTACCAATGGATCAGCCTCTTCTCCTTCATTGGCCATCACGAAAGCCCCTTCTTCCTCTGGTGGAATAGAAGCAGTTGTTGACAGAGCTGCCGATGAGGGTTTGGTGACTCTCCGATCTCCGAAGGTACATATATATGTATAAATACACGTATGTCATATTCTTCAAAGGTTTCTGGGAAAATGGCTTAGTCTTCTTACTTCATTTTTCCGATCATAGATATTGCCCGCTAAGTTATGCTTTTCTTGAAAATGTTGGTACCCACACAGGTAGGGTTTTTCCGGAGATCGAGGGCCATAAAGGGGAAACGAACACCTCCGTCTTGTAAAGAGGTATGCTCGCATTCTTGGTTCCTCGGGCCAGTCTTGTTGACTCCGCCGATGGTTCTTTTTGTAAGACGGGAATTTTTGTCTTTGCTCTATGAATCGACAGAAAGACGTGGTGAAAGAGGGTCAAGTTCTTTGCTACATCGAGCAGCTCGGTGGCCAAATCCCGATCGAGGTAACCTCCCTCGAACTAATAGAAAACTCGAGACTCCTGCATCATTTGCAACGATCTTGATTTCGCTCTTTCCGTCTTCCGCAGTCTGATGTTTCGGGCGAGGTTGTGAAAATACTTAGAGATGACGGCGGTAAGGCTCTCTCCCCGTAAATTCCATCTTACCGATAACTGTCTTCCCGACAATTTCATCTTTCGATTTTTTCTTTTTGCAGAGCCAGTAGGATACAATGACGCTCTCATCAAGGTCCTTCCTTCATTCCCAGGCATCAAGAAGCTTCAGTAATATGATGGAGAATTTCTTTCATCGATTTGCTCTGTGTTTGTGTTTTTCTTTGTAATGTTCTACCAAAACCGAGAATTAGATTTCCCGTTTTATGTGATTTGGGTCACAAACTTACAGAACCAAACATGAATCTGAAAACACCATGAAACAGAGATTACAAAACCTGTTTTGTTTTTGTTTTTGTTTTCATGAAAGAAGCTATTTTGACCGAATTCTTACAGAACCTAGTAACAGAAATTTTAAATTTATGTTTTTGTCAAAAGCAGATACAAAATGCATGCAAAATTAAATTACAACGCTCCTAATATTATCTACTCATCGTCCATTAAAATCATTTACACTTTTGTCAATTATCATATCATATGAACACATATATGTCGTATTCGTATCTTTCTTATTTGCTATTTACGAATCATTCATGAAAATAATACAACACCCATGATAGTGATTTAAATAATGGACATCAAAACTTCGAAACAAGTCAGAAGCATATAAGAGGATGGATCAATTGAAGAGCTCTATAACTGTCGACTCTCTCTCTCTCTCTCTCTCTCTCTCTCTCTCTCTCTCTCTCTCTCTCAATGAATCTCTCCATGGCCTTCCACCTAGTTCTTGTCCAGCAGCTTGAGAACTGTTTCAAGACCAAGTAGAGAAACGCGTTGGCGAAATAAAACTTGCAGGCCAAATCAATACAAACCCATTTGATCAAATCTTAATATATAACGATATATCGCAAGGACTAATTACACATTCATGGAAAAAAAAAGGACCTGAGAAATTGGGAGAAGAGTTGCTCAAGATGTACAGAGCGTCGCGCCATTCTTGGGGGGTCTTCTTGGAGGACATGGCTCGGCCGATGGTGACCAGAGCCAGGGGGAGGCCGTCGCATTTGGAGGCCACGTCCTGAGCCACCGCGGCTATGTCCGGGTGGCTCTTGAGCGTATCCTCTCCCACGTTCTTCTTGAACAGCTCCCACCCCTTCTCCCACGACAGTTTCTCCACCTTGATCTTTGTCTGCGCTCCCATTTCCCGACACACGTCCTCTGAACATGTCGTGAACACGATCTTTGATCTGTTCTGTGCGTCTGCCACTGGCACTCCCACTCTCACTGCAGTATGTAAATTACGTTATAATAAATCAAAAAAGTATCTGGTGGGGTGGCTGATTGAAAAGGCATGCTTACCAAGATCGATCTTCTCCCAGACATCGTCGAGGAAGAGAGCGAACCTTCTCTTGCTGAGGATCTCGAAGATCTTCGAGGCCTTCTCTTGTCCGCTCTTGCTCGTCCACGTCTTGTCCAGAAACCCTATTTTCTCCCTCACCGTGTCCTGAATCTTCTCCACGCACACATTCTTCGAAACGAACACCCAAATCACGAAATCGAACCCGTTCGATTTCTGCTGAAGCAACCTGTTGTTCACTTGCGTCAGTACCGTCGTCTTCCCGACGCCTTCAACGCCGTAAAGCCCTATGATTCCCGTGTTCTCCACCGTCAGACACCTCCATGGGACCCCCGACACAGCCTCCAGCCCCACTGTCTGGTCGTCGTCGTTATCGGCGGAGACCATCTGTCCGTTGTTCTTGCTGTTGTTGTTCTCGGACAGAGATTCCAAGAAGGTTCCTCGGGTCTTGATGACGTCACGTATCTCTCTCGTCTTCTTGGACACTTTCTTGTCGAGTTTGAGGCTTGTCATGTTCGAGGTGTTCTTGGACATCAACTCTTCGGCTTCTTTGATGGCGGAATCTGCCTGTCTGATCCATGTCTGGACTCTCTCGAACCGCTTCATGTGTGGTTGCTGTTCCTCGCAGATCTTGACCCTTTTCATCGCATTGTTCCGCAAATCTCTGAGTTCTTCGGCCGCTGCCTTCAACTTCTCCAGATTCTCGTTCACCTTCCCCACGTAGATGCACCTCGACATGAAGCTCTTCAGATCTTTCCCCATTCTTTTTTTTTTTTTTGACGATTCTCAGTCGAGGTGTAATGTATAATGTAATGTGTGTATATATATAACCATGTGTGTGAATGCAAAGACTGACCTGCACGTTTGTTTTCGGTGATAATGCGCACGTAGGGGGTATAACCTAAGATGCTTGTCTTTGGGATTAAATTTAATTTCAGGTGCTAGTTGTTGGAGGTGCATTCTCATTATTATATCATTTTGTTTTTATTTTTCAATGATTGAAAATGTAATACATATTCAAATATTTGTGCGCGTGGTTGTCTCGGTGTGGTTAACATGTCTATATATGGCGGTCTATTACAGGGCCTGCTTCCATGATTCGCTGTCCGGAAATTAAACCGGGAAGCTGTAACGGGAATTTGGATGCGATCAAAACAAACCAAGTTGATTGTTGACTTTTTCTTCATTGATTTGGAATAACCGGTTTGCTACTAACTGTCTTAAAGAATTCCACCGGTTTGCTAAACTCAAGCAAGTCCCCTCCATTGGTTCGACTTCTCTCCCTCTGTGCTCTTCTTCTTCCTCTATCGCCGCCAGTTTAAGGTTGTCTCCTTCCTCTGCCTGACATACGGTCTCCGACAAATGTCCTCTCTTCTTCGACAAATAATTAAGACCGGATTTCATTTGAATTATTCTCAGATGGGTTCCTGGAAATTAAGGATCGATGGCTCGAAATTAGCGGCGCGTTTTGGTAACTAATGTGATGCTGATGCATGCTAGCATGTGGTTTGGTTAATTTACTTGTATTTTGACAGCCCATTATCATATTCTAAATTGCAACGAACACAAACAAATAAATAACTTGGGGTAGACTTTGCTATGATTGGGCATCTTCCCCATGAAAAGATAAAAGATAAAACATGGGTTCAAATCCAAACGCGGAGAAAGGGATTCACCTGGATTTCTTCGATCTAATCATGGGCTAAAACGTTGAATGGGATGCGTTGGAGGCATGGAACGGAGGAGGAGGTTGGCTCGAGAGCGATTGGTTCGCATGGTCTCGGGGACGAGGGGGAAGCTGTCGCAGTTGCAAATTTCGATCATGAAGCCGTTGGGGTCGTGGAAGAAGAGCTGGTCCACGTGTACGCTTCCTTCTTCCACCGTCCCATGCACGTACTTTACTCCCATCCTTTCCAGTTCCTTCTCCACTCTTCCCATGCTCTCACACTCCCCCCCAATTAATATATATAGTTTTGTTTTATGTATCCAAAAAAAAAAAAATCAATGAAGATTCAACGAATGATCAAGGCTCTGATATCATATTAAATAAATATGGATAGTTCTAGTGAAATTTCAGTAACAATTTTATCCTATTATTTGAGGTGAATAGGTTTTAAAAAATAATAATATATATAGATGTACAAAATTTTAAAATTTCTATTAAAAAACTATTATATACCCTAAACTTGTAAAAAAAATAATTTTTTAATAAAAATTTAGGTTTTTCCAAGATTATATTTTTCAAACGGTTTTCCTGTTATTTATTGATTGATATATAAGCCACCCATTTTTTTTATATAAACTCTATATATAGGGGAAATTAAAAATGTACATATATATAGAGAGAAAATCACCTGGAAAGAGATGTGGTTATCCTTGGGATTAATTTCTTTCTTTGATGGCACATTCTCTGGATCCTCCGACTGCAGCAGATGTATTCCTATCCCATGCCCAAATAACCTACACAATTAATTACATAATTCATCCACCGGAGAATTACAGTTTCATGGCATAATTATAATCTAATGGGTTCAATCACTGAATATTCGACCTTTATATATATACGTACGTGTATGTGTGTATATATATTACCATGCCCCGTGAGAGTCCAAGGACCGAGGCCTTCGTACGAGGGAAAACCCTAAAACATTCTGGTAGAATTCTATGGACTTCTCAACGCATCGACAAACCAACGAGACGTGGTTCACGGACGTTAAATGGAGTAGGTTTCCTGCACTTTCCTTCATTTTCCCGAGAAAATCCTCCGGATTACAATCAAACGTCGTCGTTCCAGAAAAGAAAAAGGCCGCAATTGGAAGGCGGTGAACAAGAAGTGATGGATTGAGAAACTTATATAAAGAATCGAATATTCTGGAGAGGGAAATCAGTTAAGTAAATAAGAAACAAAACGTATGCATGCAATAGGAGCAAAAGTTGACGGTGTGCATGCAAACGTGTCTCTCCCATCTTCGTATTTATGTTTGCATACGACACGTGGACATCGTGCAATGCTGATTAGGATCACAGCATTTTTTTTAATCATTTTCTTTGTTTCCCAAAAAGAAATAGAAGTTAGTTTAAACTATAAAATAAAGGGTAAAACCCCTAAAAAACCTTTGCAATAGGAGCAAAAGTTGACGGTGTGCATGCAAACGTGTCTCTCCCATCTTCGTATTTATGTTTGCATACGACACGTGGACATCGTGCAATGCTGATTAGGATCACAGCATTTTTTTTAATCATTTTCTTTGTTTCCCAAAAAGAAATAGAAGTTAGTTTAAACTATAAAATAAAGGGTAAAACCCCTAAAAAACCTTCAACTTGCAAAAATATATACAAATAAATCTTCAACTTGAAAAACTGTCATTCAATCCCCGAACTTGTAACTTGTCACTGAATAAAACCTCGAACTTGCAAATTATTGCTCTAATAAACCTTTGACCGGTTTGACCACAATTTCAAACGATCGAAAATCCACGTATTGACGGATTGCTGATGTCATTTTTTAAACTAAAATTGATAACATGTATAAGGTGACATCAACAATCCGTTAATACGTGGATTTCCGATCGTTTGAAATTGTGGTCAAACCGGTCAAAGGTTTATTAGAGCAATAATTTGCAAGTTCGAGGTTTTATTCAGTGACAAGTTACAAGTTCGGGGATTGAATGATAGTTTTTCAAGATCAAGGTTTATTTGTATATATTTTTTCAAGTTGGAGGTTTTTTAGGGGTTTTACCCTAAAATAAAATATTTATATAGTTTACTTAGATTTTAATGTCAATCTGATCTTAAATATAAAATATATTACTATAAAAAATTTATAATTTTACTTATATATATATATGCTGTTTGTATAGTTATATCATATGTCTGTGATAACTTTTTGTTTTGAGATATTTGCTTTATCTTAAATTTTTTATTTTAGTCTGTAATTAAATAATTTTTAGTACATTACAGAAGTATTATTTATTGAATTAATTTAATACATAGATAGTTGTGGATAATTATGTTATACCTTTATGAAGAAAAGTTATTTTCTTTTAAATTCTAGGAATACATATATAGTTTAAGCTTTTCTATATTTACTTATACTTATTTGTCTATCGATTTTTATATTTCTGTTCCATTCATTTATTTTACTAGGTAATTCAACTTCAGATACATTTAAATAACAAGTAATAGTATCATCCTTAATTATTTTTTCGTTAACCTTGGTTAGAAATGAAAGAAACTGTAAGTTATTGGGCTTGAAAAGCTAAAGAAAAATTCTTATTGGGCTTATCAAGAAAAGCCCAAAGCCACAACGCTCGGCAATGGCGATCAGACAGACCCCAGAATGCCAAAACGCTGCGTTTTAGCGAGAAGATGAAAACTTGCAAAAAAGCCAACATAATGATTAGTTCAAATCCTTTTTGGACAGTGAAATCGTTTCCAACCCAAAGGGTTTCCGTATCTTCCTTGTAATAAATCAAGAACATATGCTTTGATCAACTATGTCCTGACACCAGAAACACAGTAACACATCGCCAAATAACACGCTCACAAATGTTTGGAGAACTTGTCTTAAGGACGAGAAAAATCTGCTTCTGATTCTACAAAGTTAAAGTCAAGCACAAGGCATAAAGAAAACCGGTCTTGTTTGATTTACCAAAAAAAAAAAACCCGGTCTTGTTAGTTCTTTCAACTCAGCATCTACCTGGCTTTAGAGGGTATGAGAAATGAATGTGTTGTCCCTCAGCCCTTGGAAGTTATAACGAGTAAACCAATGCGCCGATGAGCATATACTGCAAGAGGAGAAGATCCGACATCCAAAATCAGCAACCAGAGATCAAGATTCCGTTTTTCGGATGATAAAGATAGCATATATGCTTTTTTGTCATTCAACAATGGCGGAAACACACCTTGATGATAGGCTTTTCTGTCATGATAATGGTCACCCACCCGAAGTAAGGCAAGAACCTGCATTGCGTTTTTTGTCAGGGGAAAGAGAGACGAAACCATTTGTGAAGAACGGAAACTCTATCTCGATTTTAACGTCACGGATGGAAATGTGAGAGTAACAAAGCTCAGTGGTCGAAGTATTTACCCGACAGCCCTGCCCATTATATGGTTGCGGTGAAGCCAAAGCTGGCCTTCCGCATAGAGAAGTCTGTCATCCCCGTAATTATTATCACCTGGAACCATAATAACGATCAAAGATGAGAAAGTTTTTCAAAGAATTCTACAAACATGGTTTGCAAAGGTCTATTTCGAATAAACAAAACCGCACCTTTAGTCAGAACATCAACTTCTCCGGTCTCTTTCCTTTCATGAACCTATGATGTGTGACCATACCGAGGGCAAGGAACTGAGTTGGATTTACATAAGACATTCCCAATAAAGGTGCAGAAAACCATCACCTTAATGACACGATGAACTATGGGAATATCATGACCCTGCAAAAGGGTATGAAGCCGCCAAACCAATCAGAGGAAGAGGGCGAAATGGAGATATTGGTCTGATAGAACATATTACCGAACAGAGGGATGAAGCCGGAAAAAAAATGTGGCACTTACATCAATATTGAACACAACGATTTCGCCTGCTCGAATAGGGTCTCTACTCACGTGCAAGAACAATAAATCTCCCTGTGTAAAACCATGACAGATATATTGCAAGTTAGTAAACATATTATGCTTGCCCTCGAGTTTTCTCATAGTGGTCTTGGCAAGGAATTGCGAAGCCTAAGTGAACATAGGAAAACTTATAATGTAGAAATAAACCAAAGTTTCAACAAATAGTTCATCCTACCCTCTTAAATCCAGGTTCCATGCTTCCAGATAGAACAACCGCCAGCGGGGATTCACTGCCGGTGACACAAATCAATGCCTTCCATATGATGAATGCAGACGTAACGATCATGCCTACGATACAACATACATAACACATTGTTATAATGTCAGTAATTTGATCAAACGGTTCAACATCTGAGATTCTGAATAGCAACTAATGCAAAGCCGAAACATGATTTGCAAAAAAAAAATAGTGTTCTTCATCGGTAATTACTTCAGCTCTCCATTTGCCTAGTTTGGAATAACACTTCTATGTCCACTGAAACTCTCGGAACTCTGCTGATTTTATTTACATTCCAGCGTGAGCAAAGCTACATTAATCATTCTTCGAAATTTGGCCTCGAAATCGGGCGAAATTCGATATGGGACTAATCCAAAGACGGAAAGAATCATTGTGTGTAGGATGCACCCTTCTAGTTACCAAATTCAGAGATAATAGCATAAACCTCCTAAGTTCTACCTCTGCTATTTTCAATCAAATTTGCCAAACGCTACACTTAATGGGATTTCGAATGAAGAGAACTAACTAATACATGTATATATTAGCAAGAATGTTTTCATGGCCAAAGATATTGCTCCGCCGCAAAACGAACTGATAAAGCCCCTTCGTATCAAACGGGTCTCTAATCTTGCACGAAAGCTTCCAACTTTAGTCCATCACTGAACCCTAGGCACCAGATTTCTCCACTTTCGGACATCGAAAAACCCAAATGCTCAAGGAGTTCAATGACAAACGAAACGAAACCGTAATCAGAAATTTCCCGTCTACGCAGAAGGATAAAGATCGAACCAAGACTGACGGCCTGGGTGAGGAGCTGACAGATCTGTATAGATTTAATGGAATCTAGGGTTTCTCCGATCCAACCCATTTTCTCCTCTTCCTCTTCTGTTCCTCGAGCGAAATGATTCAGATCGGAGAACGAACTAACCGTTGGTGTGCTAACGGAGGAGGAAGAGGAGAGAGCTTTGAATCTTTGATGATGCACGTTATTGTTTTGTTTCCCACCGCGTCTCCGAAAACCGGTTTCAATTTCAGCAGCTCGGTTTACTAGCTAAACCGAAAGTGTACCGGTTTTAAATCAAAATAATATGCTGACGTGGCAGAAAGTACTATTTTATTCATTTACCCGTGAACGGATCTCTTATTACGGAACTACCACTATTTCTGTGGCTCTCCTGTGAAATCAGTTTCTGCCTTCCCCGGCGAGAAGATCGGAGCCTTTTCTCACATGGCGCTTCTAATTCCGGCGAGTTTCGGGAATTTAGCCGTATCGCGGCGTGCGCATGTTAGCCTGACAGTCTCTGCTTCTGCTAACCCGCGCACCTTCCATCGCGAATCCGTGGATTGGGTTAAGGAAACTGCAAGCTTTTTCGATCAGGACAAGAGGCCGATCATGTTGTTCGACGGTAATCATATTGAAACTTTGTCTTAATTCTGAAAGCAGTTAAAGCGGCTCTGGAATTGCAGTTTAGTGTATTGGAGAAACTTATTGAATTTTAGTGTAAGATGTTCGATAAATTCCATTTCTGTGGTTACTTCACTTGTATTCTCGTATATATATATATATATTATGGTTTTTCCTATAGGCATCTCAATGTAAGCCCCATATGTTTGTCGATTTCAAGTTTCTGGTTCTGAATATAAAAGGTTGATATTTGACGAATGGTGGTGCTCTTATCTTCTTTGGTAGGTGTTTGCAATCTGTGTAATGGAGGCGTGAAATTTGTTCGAGATCACGATCGAAACAGGTCAGTAGTGTTGGATTGAAGGCCACAAAGAGAAGAAACATAGCTGAGTTTATACAATTTGAGAAATATGAAATCTTTCCAGGAGAATAAGGTTTGAGGCACTGCAGAGCGAAGCGGGCAAGAGGTTGTTGATGAGATCAGGAAGAGCTCCCGATGATATATCCAGTGTCGTTCTTGTGGAGAAAGACAGGTGCATATGTTTGATATTGGACCGACAAATTCCCTTCGTCAAACCGTTAAATTTGTTTCTTATCCGCCCGTCTTTTTTCTCGTTCTTTGCATTTCAGGTCATACACTAAGTCGGAAGCGGTTTTGAAGATCATGGAATACATTGACTTACCATTTCCACAACTTGCATTCTTTATGCAGTTTGTTCCTCTGTAAGTTTCTTCTCTCTTATGGGATCAGGTTAATGCTTATCTGAAAGTAACACTTTGAATAACGTTTTGCTTTGAGATTTTGCAGGTTTGCTCGGGACTCTGTGTATGACAACATTGCAAACAACCGCTATGCAATCTTTGGTTGGTCTGAATCATGTGAGATCTGAATAAACTACATTCTTGTCAACACCATACAGTATCATACAAAAACTGTGTGTAAAAGCTCTTCCTACAGTTTAATATATATACGCCTTTATACAAATGTAAAGCTGCAGTAGTCTTTTCTTTGGATACATATGTTAGTACTTTTGAATCTTGTTTTCAGACTTTGTAAACTTCCATATCGAAAGCCTCGGGATTGTGTCAAATAATCTTTTACAGAGTGTGGATAGAAACTGCTAATTGAAAACTCTGAGTGGCACATCCTCATGTCCTCGGAAAAGCTTAGTAAAACCCCCCACGAATCTGTCGAAATTTCAGGAAATCGTCATGTACAGGCAAGGGAAGAAAGGGTTATTATGATCTCGTGTTTTCAGTTATATTTGTGATACTTACCCTGCGATCAAGATGGCTAAAGATATAAACCTCAACATGTGTTGATAGCACTTGTACTTTGATTTCCTGTGTTTCATGTCATATCCAGGAGGAATGTACTTAGGGTGAACATATCCATACTGAGGACGGAGAAGAAGGACAAAACCGAGGAAGAATCCGGCTACGAATCCTCCACAATGGGCAGAATTGTCCACGTAAGGTAAGAACCCAACACTCAGATTCAATGCGATGATCAGAATCAATGTCATGAGAGCAGTACACTGAAAGAGAAGATTGGTTTTCAAAAGGAGGTACCTCTTAATGTTCTTTGTTGATCTTTAAATGTCTTGAGAGAAGATGATGGACGGCAATGGCATTACCTTATTTTCATAGATTGACCAGTTTGTGATCAGTTCGGAAAGCATGGCTCCGAGTAGTCCAAACAAAGCGCCAGAGGCTCCGACTGATACCCTTTCGCCTCTGGTGTCCGTCAAGCAAGATGTTAGGCTTCCACCGAGACCAGAGATCACGTACAATGCTCCGATTCTAACTGTAGTCTCATTAGGTTATTTTGAAATCAGGTAAACGAAATTTAGGGTTTGATGATGGAGAGAGAACGATGTTAAGGCAAGTCTTACAGAATCCAAATTCTTGTTCAAGGCGCATTCCGATACATAGAAGGCTGATCATGTTAGCCAGCAAGTGGAGGAGTCCTCCATGGAGCCATATGCAGGAAAGGAGCCGCCATTTCTGTCCGTTCTGCACCAGTTTCCGTTCGAGGGCTCCGAGTTTTCTCAGCCTGATTCGATCAGATTCCCTTGTTAACGTTTTCGGAAACAGATTCGAATCCGGAAAGGAAAAAAACGTTTCGGGAATCGAGAATTCTTACGTGGGAACAGAAGGGCCAAGGAGAAGATTCTCCCGGAGAGGTTGGAAGGACAATCGCCCGAGGAAGTCGTAGAGGATGCATTCATGGGATCTCGAGGGGCAGTCATTCACGTACATGATGGAGGCAAAGGTGACGAAGTTAGCAACCAGGATGAGCGGCACGAGCCACGCTAACCATGGCTCAGGCATGGGTGGCCGGAATTGCGGCCGTGGCTGCGGTGGCGGTGGACCGGTCTCGAGGTCTGGTGGGATCGGCGGTCTCTTCCCCATTCTGAAGAACAAAAGGGAAAAGAGCAAATACTCAGGCGCGGTCGTACGGAACTTTGGTTTGGTTGGTTGGTTTCATGGGATGACTAACTTCCGATGATTTGGTAGATTTTCTGAAGCCGCGAGAGAGATTCGGACAAAATCTAGTGGCCAACCAAAGTGTTGGATAGTTTTCTTTTTCTTTTTCTTTTTTACCTTTTCTAAAAATGTTTGGTTTGATTATATCATGGAGTTATGTTCAGTACATACACACCGAAATAGTCCAATCAATAAGGGTACCTATCCGGATTTTTTGGGTTTATTTTTTTTATTTATAAAAATTATATCTATTCGGTGTTTATATTAGATTCCTTTGGATTTTAATTTTATCGCTAAAAATGTTTAAAAATAATTATTTTTAGGTAATTTGAAATTATGTTTGCGTTGTATTTTTTGGGTTTTAAAAAACTATACACATTCGATTTTGATATTGGATTCAATTTAGATATTATTACGTGTTATTTGGCAACGGTCGAAAACATGTTTTTAGTAAATTTTATTCAAGACCATCGATATGAAAGCTTTTGCAATTGCGACTTTAGAGTATGTATCTAAAGTATATTACCCAGCACAAAAACAGAGCCAAGACCGTTTCTGGGACTCGATTTCGCTTTCCTTTGCCTTCGAAAACCCACGGTGTCAAATGGCCCGGCGGCGTAAAATCCCGACCAGGCGACGGCTGAGGCGGGTTTCTGGCTAGGGTTAGACAATCTAGACCCGGCAAGGTAGGCGTAGACGAGAATCCTTTCGCGTTTAAACACGCTCCACGCACAGCGATCTCGCCTCTCTCTTCGGAATCTATGTCGATGTTACTCATGTAGATGTCCGTACATGGAACCGTCTCGCTGCAACTGAACGTGACCCCGATCTCCGTACTCGACGTTCCGACAAATCCGTCGTATAGCACATTGCTCACTTTCACGGCCGATGTCTGAAAACTCGAACACAATGCAACGTTTTCATCCCTTATGTCGAAACATGTTCCAATAAAAAAAATACCGAATGGTATCTTCATATCGGTCTCTATATTTTTGGGAGATATGATTTAGACCCCAAACCTTATTAAGATCACATAATTGACCCAAATAAAGATTAGCACATAAATACATATAAATTGATATGCATTGATTCACGTATGATTATTGACAATAATCCAATATACCGATATTGAATTTCCATGTACCTGGTTCTTGCACTTTGAACCACGAATGCAGTAGTACTGATCGATTATGATCGGGTTCCGGACTTTATCGAGCTTAATTCCTCGGAAAACAATGTTTTTCGCGTAACCAGATCCTCCCTTAAATCGTCTTTAGTTTTAATCGGAATCGAGAGAAAAAGAATTTACCTGAGTGTTAACGAAAATAACATATCGGGTCGGTGTACCTGCCAAGTTTTGATCCTTGCTCCATTTGTAGTTCCTGTGAAGCTGCAATTTTGGACATATACCTCTTCCACTGAAGCTTTCTCCCCATCTTTCCCCAAGCTTCCAATGCTACACATATAACACATCACATACATATATCTATACACACATATATATGTATATTTGCAAGGAAAACAGATTTATGTGATCATGGCATAACTAAAAAATGAAATAATCTGAAAAAATAAACTAGTTACCTTATGCCGTGGCCTGGACCGCACTGTACGCCGGAGATGTTGACGAGAGATGAACCCGAGTTGATCGCAATGCAATCATCACCTTTACATCGATATATGGTTCCCAATAAAATTTTAAAAATATATATATATCTTGCCCATTTATTTAAACCATATCAGCAACAAATAACAAATTAAAAATTTGATGTATGAATTATATAGCTTTTCGATCGATCCAATTCGATCAACGCGACTGATTTTTCAGCAGGTGTATGCAATTATGATAGAGAAAAAAAAAGGTGAAATCGTTGGATTTTTTATTATTCAACTCGTTACGATTTTTATAGTTAAAAGTTAGAATTATAAAATATGTTATTTAATTGATATAAATACCTGAAATATAAAGATAAAATCAAATTTAATATTATGATAATATTCTACAATACTAGAAAGCTTCACAAATGGATTTGGAGTCCAATCCTGCACAAAAAAATGTAACGATCTTTTTTTTTTTTTTTCGTTTCTAAATGTCATGGATCCTTAACCTCGATGTTCAATAAAACTCGAAAACTCAAAACCCTAGGCCGGCCAAGTAACTCGGTAAATATAAAATGTGTGTGAGAGATTATGGACATAATTATACCGGTGCCGATGAAGCAGTTTTGGATTTGGACGTTGGTTGAACCGGCGATATCAATACCGTCGGTATTAGGGCTTGATTCCGGCGCCGTTATCCGAAGATCCGAAATGGTCACACCATAACAATTGTTTATATGAATATGAGCCATTGGACTATCAATGTGCCTTAACCCTCTGAGTTGAAGGTTCTTGCATTTCTTGAACTTCAATGCCTGTATGCAATTTAAAACACAAACATAAAAGGGGACTTCTTATGTTAGGGTTAATATTAATGAAATGTGGAACTATATAGTTTTCTATGTAATATGTATAAGATTTTGAAGTGTATGTTTATATATATATATATATATGTACGTACGGTAGGTCGTGGATCGTTTTCGTATTTCCACCAGCTGGATCCCTGGCCGTCGATTAGGCCGTCACCTTCGACGATTAGGTCATCGATGTCGGAGAAGACGATCCAATTATCGTTGTCGCCCTTCCATTTCTTTTGGTTTCTTCTTGGTGCAACGATATCTCCGTAAACCTTCCATGGATATACATATATATATATAGATATATGTATTAAATGAGGAAAATGTATGAAATTAGCATAAATATTTAAGGATGGGTTATTATATAGGGAAGGATGCAATTAACTACTCTAGATTAAGGCATATAATTAACATTCGAAGTTTACCTAATCAAGCTATATATATGTTGAATTAATTTGAGTCTATATGGGGACTTAATTTTATAAAGTAAGAACTGTGAATATTATATTTTTTTTTTAAATGTAAAAAAAAGTACCTGAAAATTAATGGGGCCAGATTTGCAAGGACCTAGAAATTTCAAGGGTTGTAGCATAAATATCTTGTCTGCTGGTACGATAAGCTCCGTGTCTGTGCCATGTCCTGTCCCTTTACACACAGTTTCCCAACTTCTGAGGAACGCCTTATTTATTTTTTATTTTATTTTAATTCCAAAGCAATCAAAAAACAAGAAATTCGGGGGAAAAAATATTAGTATTAATTTACCATGTTCACACAAAAAAATATGGGATTATATTCATGTATATTTACACGCACAAACCATTTTCCAACAAGAAATTTGATTATCAATATATATATACACACACACACAACCATATAAAAAAAAATTCAAACCCAAATAGTAACTACTTACAACCATATAAACGGATATAAATTTAGATAATAAATTATATTACCGAATTGAATAGAATTCATATACATGAAAACTTTTGAACGCTTGACCCATACCAAAATTCCATCAAATAAAGAATAGTTACAAGTTTACAACTATACAACCCGTATAGTATCAAATAGAAATTAAATATGATTCAAATTATATATACTTTTAGTTATGAAACTTTTTGTTTACTTATTATTAATAATAATAAAAGAAAAATAAAACATTTTTTTTAAAGGAATTTTACCTGCGAATCATCTGTAATCCCATCTCCAAGTGCTCCAAACCGAGTGACGTCCAAAGCTTGAGATGATGACGTCGGGTCTCGGAGAACCAAGGCCGACAATATCAAGATTATGTACAGAGTTTTGGCCTACACTACATACATACCATACATTATACCATTATATGACACATATCTATGATAATATTTTGCCCACATACATATCTAAGATAATCAATTACATAAATACAAAAAAAATAAGAACTTGTTGGATGTTCAATTACATCCATCAAAGTTTTCAAAAGTGTTTACCATGTTATGTAAATATTACTTTAGGATTGTAAAATATATATATATATATAACATTTTAAGTGATTAATTGCCATTGCATGCCTCCCCCTCGACGACAAACGTGTGTGTGCATATATATATATAGATAGAGAGAGACGCATGCAAAGAGATTTAAAGGGATGGTACAAGAACAAGACTAAAAATATTTGTTCTTTTAAGTGACGTGATTATTCCGTACATAAGTTATAAATATTATATTTCTTCCAATTTAATTACACCCGGATTTATGTATATTCAACAATCGAATGATTTGTAGGTTTTTTTTTTTAATTTTTTGCCGGTCGAGAGAGAGAGAGCAACGCAATGACAAAAAAAAATATTTATAACATATCAGAGTATCCGAATTATCCAAAATTGTTTTCGAAACGCATATGTGACCGAATTGGATATCTGAGCAATTAATTTACTCATTCATGTGACAATGCTGAACAATTTACGAGAGGCTATTCAAGCATGAATTAATTGTAACAAAAACGAGTAATTTGATAATAGCCTCTCAACCAAATTAAACAAAAATAACTCCAACTTGGCCAAAAAATCTATTGGTAAAAAACTCTGCAGGTATACATATCACACAAGGTAATGCTCAAGAGCGCATATCATATTCGCCAACTATGAACACAAAAATCAACAATAATTCGGACTAAACAAACACGAACCCATAGATAATAAGTTTTATTACCCGAACCTAAATGCCAAAGTTACAATGAGTATCCGAAAAACATTCGAATATCTACATACTATTGAGAAGGTGATTTATTCGCTTATATCATGTTTATGTAATGCTTATGTAAACGATTACATCATAATGATGTAAAGTTTATGTAAAGAGTTGTAGAAGTTTGAATCTGTGTGTGTGTTATGTGTGATTAAAGAAAATAAGGATATGGTAGGTGTGATTGATTGATGATGTGTTATCAAGATGTGTAGTTATGATGAGAGTAGTAGGTTTGAAGTTTTAATATAAATAGCACTACTAGAAAACAACAAAAGGGTGACGCAACTTTTGCGTCACCCTTTTATATTTTTGCGTCACCCTTTTCAAAAGGTGACGCAATAGTGACGCAACCAAAAGCGTCACCATTCATACCGTCACCAATTCAGATTTCGTCACCAAGCGTCACCAAAGGGTGACGCAATAGTGACTCAATTTTTGCGTCACTAAATAGTGACGCAATTGCGTCACCTTTTAGCGTCACCTTTTGGTGACACAATTGCGTCACTATTTAGTGACTCAAAAAGGTGACGCAATTATTGCGTCACTAAAACGTATTTTGGATCCAGAAATAATTTTTTTTAATCCCGAATCTAATCCTATACCCTATTCCCGACCTCTAACCTCCAACCGCGATCTTAAGCCGAATCGGAAACTCTGAGATTGAATCCTCGAAATCCACTCTCAAGCACGCTTAACTTTAGAGTTCCAATTGACAACCAACCAACTGATCCAAGTTAAACTTCTGATATATTACTAATTAATACATATACATATACAAATATTTATACTTACAAATATATATATATATATACGTATATATTTGTACGTATATATACATATATAAAATATGTATTTATATACATAACATATGTTTGTATGTATAAATATATGTAAAATACACATTTATATATAAAATACTCGTATATTTGTATATACAAATACACATATATATAATATATACGTATATATAAAATTTATGTTTTATATATATATTCGTATATTTATACATACAAATACATATATATATAATATACGTATATATAAAATTTATATTTATATGGAAATACTCGTATATTTATACGTACAAATACATACATATATATATACGTATATATAAAATATATATTTATATACATAACATATATTTGTATGTATAAATATATGCATATATATACGATTATATATATATATATTCATATATATGATGATATATATAAATATATAATATATATATGTATATGTAAAATACACATTTATATATAAAATACTCGTATATTTGTATATACAAATACACATATATATAATATATACGTATACATAAAATTTACGTTTTATATATATATATTCGTATATTTATACATACAAATACATATATATATAATATACATATATATAAAATTTATATTTATATGGAAATATTCGTATATTTATACGTACAAATACATACATATATATATATATGTATATATAAAATATATATTTATATATAAATATTTGTATGTTTATACGTATAAATAATAAAATACAGATATAGTGACGCAATTGCGTCACTAAAAAGTGACTAAATTGCGTCACCAAAGGGTGACGCAACTATTTGCGTCACTCTCGCGTCACCTTTTTTCGTGACGCAAATTTTACGTTATTTTTTGCGTCACCGTTTAGTGATGCAACTATTTGCGTCACTATTGCGTCACTATTTAGTAACGCTTTAGTGACGAAAATATTGCGTCACTATTTGCGTCACTTTTGCGTCACCATTTTAGTGACGCAAATTTTGCGTCACCTTTTCCGTGTTTTCTAGTAGTGTAGGAGGTGTTGTATAGAGTTTTTCATATCAAGCTTTCCTAAGCATTTATAAGCATTTCTCTCTAAACACTTTTTTCTCTTTTCTCTCTTTGATATTTCTTTATAAAATTCTAAGTATAAGTGCTACGAATTTTCAATATATTTTCGTTTTTCTTTTTTTACACTATGCACTAAAGAAGAGAAGTTAAGAAGCTTGTGAATGATAATATAATACAAGCTAACTACGGTTCAAGGGACAACGCTGCACTGCAAGCACAAGGAAGAGCATTAGATCGAAGCACAAGACGCACCACAAAGCACTACTTGCACGAAGAGCACTATGGCGGTAAACACCCAAAACATTCAACCCGTTGCTATTTTCGATGGCCAAAATTATGAGTTATGGGCCATGAAGATGAAGACGACGTTGACGCTGAGAGAGTTATGGGATGTTGTCAAAAAAGGTGTTCCGGCAAAACCATCGGAGACCACAAAAACTCCGACGAAAAATCAAGTGATGGATCTCACAAAATGGAGGGAGATCAAGATGAAAGACATGACGACCCTCCAACTTCTACAAAATTCCATCACAGATTCCGTCTTCCGGAAGGTGATAATGGCCACGACATCAAATGAGGTGTGGACCAAGTTACAAGAAGCATATCAAGGTAACGAACGAGCCATACTTGTTCGATTACAATCTTTACATACTCAATTCGAAAATTTGAGAATGAAAGATGGAGAGAGAATAAGAACATATACGGATAGAGTGATGGATATCGCAAATCAAATGGAACAATTGAGAGAAGAAAAGAAAAGTTTTGAAATAATAAGGAAGATCCTAACAACGATGCCAAAGTCATATGCAACTTTGACAGCGTTGATGGAGGAGATGAAAGATTTGAGAAACATAATTTGGTTAGATCTTTGATCGCACATGAATCAAAGTTCCTACCGGATGAAAAAGGAAATTCAGAATGAGCTTTTCCAGCTCGATCGAAGAATCACAAAGGAGGTAACAAAGGTCTCTGGAGGTCTAATCCGAAAGGAAAGAAATAGTGGTTATTGCAAGAAAGATAATCATGCCGAGGAGGAGTGCTGTAACGACCCGAGGCCGCTACGAATTGTCGAAACTGCCCTCACACAGCAACCCGAGACCTTTCAGCGTGTTTTGTCCTCACTCGCACGCATACCGAGACGCTTCCCAGTAGGTCACCCATCCTGAGATTGCTCCAGAGCCAGCACACTTAACTTTGGAGTTCTCTCGGGATAGTTAACCAAAAAGGTAGGTGCACCTTGTTGCTATGAGTAGCTCAACTAATTCTTTTATGTTATCTTAGACCGTATAGTCCCATACCTACTCTCGGATCTCTCTCATTCCGGTGTGTTCGATTCATCCCTATACCCCCTACCCAGAAGCTCGTCAGGAGCCGCCTCTTGTCCGTGCCTCTGCACCGGCGATCACTCCCCGCCCTCCTACGGTACTCTGGGTTGTCACAAGTGCTACTTTAAAAACAAGAAGGGCAAACAAGACCAACAAGTGAGTAGGTCGAAAGAATGCTATACTTGTGGACCTTTGGCTCGAGACTGTAGAAGGAACCAAAGTCACAACGCTCAAGTAACACAAACAGAGGGCATGAATGAACAACTATTTACGGTGCGAGATGAAGCTATGATCGCCCAAGGAGAAGACATGTGGCTAATGAACAGTGGATGCACAAATCACATGTCTAAAGATATCCGGTACTTCAAAAAGATAGACCGAGATATCAAGATCCCTATCCGAGTATGGAATGGAGTTGTAATCTTGACAGAAGGAAAAGGAGATATCATGGTCAATACGAAAAAAGGTGCAAGAGTTATCAATGATGTGTTCTATGTTCCGAAGTTGGACAAGAGCCTACTCAGCGTTCCGCAAATGCTCCTAAACGGGTATGAACTCAACTTCAAAGAAAGTAGTTGTGTGATTCATGATCCTATGGGAAGAAAAATTGTCGAAATACAAATGCAGAGGAATAGCTTTCCAATGCAGCTTGTGAGACCAGACGAGTCTACCTATACGGCTGAAGAAGATTCGATGGCTCAATTGTGGCACCGAAGACTCAGTATAGTAGTAACTCATATATGCAAAAGTTACTACAGAAGAATATGGTGAAGGGAATCCCTAATTTTGGCAATTACAATGAGATGTGTGAAGCATGCCAATTAGGAAAACAACCAAGACTCGTGTTTCCATCATCTTCATCAAGAACTCAGAAGAAGCTGGAGCTAGTGCACTCGGATATATGCGGCCCGA